ATATGCAAATTAGCCTGCAGTACCACTGCTCTACCCATATGAGCAGTAAAAACACATTTTTAGACCAAATATTACAGATTTTAGCAAATACGCACAAAAACATCAAAATTATCACAGAAAAAGTACTATAAAACATTTTAGACACATTCTAGRCAGTTTATCAGCTAAAAAAGTTAATTTTGGAGTAAGTTACTCTTTAAATGTTTCTACTCTTGCAGGTTTTTTTCCAGTTTGCATTCACAAAGACCACAGGAACATTTAATTAATGCCCATCCAGAAGAACATAATTCAACAGCTCTTTTCTCATGAATATCACATTACATTACTATAAAAACAAATGTGACGCAGTTGTTTCTGTGACCTTAAAATTAGTAGGCAGTGTTTTACTTCCCAGACAACCTTGCACAACTGAGATAATATTCAGTGACAATCTTCTTTGGTGATGCACAAACAGCCACTCGTGTTTACAGAGCAGGAGTGTGACTGACAGCATGTGCCTACCATACAAATCAGGAATTTCCCTAAAACTACAGTCCAGTTTCTAATGACAGATTATGGAGGCATACTACAGTACTACTACTCTGCAGCTGGTAAGCAGAGGACACATTTTTCCTACAAATGGATTAGAATAATGAATTTGAATGTGACTCTTTGTTCAATCATGTAGTTCATATAGAGCAGGGGTGGGCAATCCTGGTCCTGGAGGGCCGCAGTTCTGCATGTTTTACTTGTTTCTCTGCTCCAACACACCTGATTTGAATATATGATTATCAGGTTTCTACAGTATGGAGGATCAAAACTGACATAATTAGAAATAAAAGCAGAATTATATAAATGAACCACTAAATAAATACTCTTAAAGCACCAATTAAAGAACTATACCTCCTGTTTTATATTTTAATTGACTTTCATATTTATTTTTCCAGGTTAGTTTCAATAAATTAATCTATATATTTTAACACATAATTTAAATTTTACTGTTTTTTTTACATATATATTAATTGTTTTTCCTTTACTTGTACATGCATTTGTGTGTCATAAATGTTTATACTTAATTATGT